ACACCCAGAGGTGAGAGAGTCTCACTGAGACACCCAGAGGGGAGAGAGTCTCTGCTGAGACACCCAGAGGGGAGAGAGTCTCCACTGAGACACCCAGAGGTGAGAGAGTCTCACTGAGACACCCAGAGGTGAGAGAGTCTCACTGAGACACCCAGAGGGGAGAGAGTCTCCACTGAGACACCCAGAGGGGAGAGAGTCTCCACTTAGACACCCAGAGGGGAGAGAGTATCTACTGAGTGGAAGGATCGCTTTCCTACATCAGCGGGAACGTTCACGTGTCCCGAGTCATCCATCCAAGCAGCAAATCTCAGAGACCCGGCGAGATGAGGCTGCATAGCGCTGTTACTGAAGTAACACATTCCTGCGGAGGGAGCTGATAGGAACGTTGGGTTGCTCAGTCAATGGCCAGGGTCAACGGCGGCGTGGTGTATTCCGCAAATATGCCCGACTGTGCGGGCGGCCACAAGCCGGCGTGAGTAGGTTAAACTTTGAGTTTTATAAGGGCACCACGGGGTGACCAGCCCCTCCCCACCCAGCCCCACCCCCCCACCCAGCCCCACCCTCTCCACCCAGCCCCTCCCCACCCTCCCCACCCAGCCCCTCCCCACCCTCTCCACCCAGCCCCTCCCCACCCTCTCCACCCAGCCCCTCCCCACCCTCTCCACCCAGCCCCTCCCCACCCTCCCCACCCAGCCCCTCCCCACCCTCTCTTCCCCACCCAGCCCCACCCACCCCACCCAGCCCCACCCTCCCCACCCAGCCCCACCCTCCCCACCCAGCCCCTCCCTCGACCACCCAGCCCCTCCCTGCACGACGGACACAATAATCCCCTGTGGGCTGGTGTAACCAGGAGGTTCCTACCAGTAAAAGTTCCCCATTGCAAGGCTCCGCGAGTGGACAACGTGATCACTGCGAGACACCTGCATGGGCAAGCTCGGACGCCCCTCTCACTATGCTGTCAGAATTTCCGATGGGTTCGCCTTCGTGAGCTCTTGAAAATCTCGCACCTTTGAAACGTATCTCAAGAATCCCAAACACGCCTTTTGGTTTGGCGTGGGCAGCTCGAGGCGAGCGACGGCTCTCGCACGCCGCCGGTCACGGAGGATTTTTTGTTTTGTTTTCACTGGCTTCAAAAGTAATCGTTACAGCTCATTCGTCGGCGCGCTAACGAGCACGGCCAGCGGGCGAGTGGCGTGACCTGTGGTTCTCGGCGCGAGTCCACGCGTTCCCCGAACCGCCGTCTTGAATTTCACCTTTTGCAAAGCGGTTTAGAGTGAACTCTTGGAGACACGTGTGCGGACTATCCGGCTTGCAGACTCAGCCAGCCTCTCAAAAGAGAGGGATAGAGAAAAGAAGGAATAACAATGTAACGGTTTTGAATATGGAGACTAGAAGCAACAGAATTGCGTAAAAAAAAGGATTGTAAACAATTCATGGAGAAACAAGATGAGTACTATTCTTGGTTCTTTCTGTAAAGTCACGTAGAAGTGAAATAATAAAGCAATAACATTTATTATTGAATTATTTCCCTTCTACGTGACTTTACCGAAAGAACCAAGAATATGAATCCCTGCAGTCACAAAAGCTTTAAAGGGAAGTAATACAATAATAAAACAATACAATCTATTATTGTATTATTCCCTTCTACGTGACTTTACCGAAAGAACCGAGAATATAAATCTCCCTGCAGTCACAAAAGCTTTAAATCGAGAACAAGATGAGTACTGTATAAGCTAAATGTATCATGGATAGCAGCAGGGTACGCAGGAAGAAGAAGGCAATTAATAAGAATTATTCGAGAAAGTCAAAGTTAGATTTGTAGGAGATGTAATGAGAAAATACGACACTGAATGTGTAACTGTTTGACTTGGGAAATTATTAGTACCAAGAGAAGCCAGGGAAGAAGACAGCGAATTATGTACGTAAGCAAAAACATCTGTGGGCTGATGACCGAGTTATGGATTAACTGCGCCTATCAAAAATAGAAATGTAGAACCCGACGCTCATTTTGCGCCTTTGTGCACTCAATGCTTCTCTAATGAGACTGCTCCTAACTCACGACTCTGTGGCTGATTGCTTAAGAAACCATTCCATCCCAGCACACGATGGCAAATATGTCCCGGAGCTAATTTTGCATGTCGAGGTCTGCAGCGGGCTACGACGAGAGGGCTTCAGCAGAGAGAGTTCGTGTAGAATAAGAATATGATCTTACCCTTTCTGGCAATAAAACAGGAGGTGTTAAAGTATTCAAACATCAAATGGATACCTTTTGCAAGGAAGCAAGTCTGCATTAACCACAAGTACTTCTGGTGAACATGCAAACAAAACATGCCCTGATATATGCCTCTGCAACTGTCTCACACGAGCAAACGACAGCATCCAGCAAATCGCGCAGTGTGAGACATTGCTGGTAGTTTACACAAACGCCGAGGAAAAGGACTTGTCTACGTTTTAGGACTCGCGGAGTGTACAGATCCGGAGGGACGACGGCCAACAGCGGGACAACGCGGACGTTCAGAATAAACACCCTCGACATTCGAGGCCCAAACATGGCAACCTCGTGGCTTTGACATTCCTCCTCGAAGACACTTTGCGGTGTGACCACCAACCGCATCGGGACATCAATGACGGGCCGATGGGCGCCACATCGCCTGCACGATGGAAAAAAATCAAGACAAGCCACAGCGGTGCGACTGCGGCCATGCCACTCCAACTATGCACCACAGAGTACATGCACAGAGACACAGAGAGGCAGAGACTCACAGCGATTGATTCTAGAGACAGAAACTCCGAGATACGTACTCCATACAGATACACGGTCAAAGCGATAGACTCATTGAGAACCATAGAGATACGCAGAGAATTCGAGATACAAAGCGACCCATAGGAGATACAATGACGCAGAGACGCATAGGCATACAAAGAGACTCGTAAATATACTGCGCGTCAAAGACAAGCCGCAGTAACAATGCGACTGTGGACATGCAAACCCACACTACGGACCGCACAGTGAACCCACACGGACACGAACTCTCTCTCTGCCGAAGCCCTCTCTCTCGTCGTGGCCAGCAGCAGCAGGAGGACCTCGACATTGCCATCTGGCTCATGGACACATCGCTGATGCCATTGTGCGCGAGAATACAATGCAGAACAGAGTACTAAAGACAACGATCCCCCGTGTAGCCTTTCACGGGATGTTGGGGCAAGTGCTGTCAGCGATCAGCAGCTATGAAGGCCGGCACGGCACACGAGGGGGTGGGTGGCCATCGCCGCACCCGACCGCCTTTGTCTCCCCAGTGGCGATGATTGTACACACCGCACCAGGTACTCACTTGAGGCTGAGTCAACCTAAGGGGAGCCCAGGACCGGTGAAGATAATCGTCACCGGTGTTGATATCCGTGATCTAACCGCTACACTACAGCTCCCGACAGAGTACAGAGCACACGCCGATAGACAGGACTTTCACACACTCGACTACAATGGACCCGTGACTCATAATGGAGCTGTTATAATTCAATTCTCTTAGCCGTAGCAACTTAATTTTCCCAGAGGGACAGATAAACACGCAACACATTAATCATTGTTCTTCAGAAACTCTCCCCTCTGGGTGTCTAAGTAATGATGATGATGGTGATCACAGTGATGATGATGATCACAGTAATGATGATGATCACAGTAATGTTACTATTCTGTCTGTTACTGTTCCGTCTGTTTCCCAGGAAAGCATCACCGAGTCTCACCCATCCACGCATCCACCCATCATCCACCCATCCATCCATCCACCCATCATCCACACATCCACCCATCCATCCATCCACCCATCATCCACACATCCACCCATCCATCCATCCACGGATCCATCCACGGATCCACCCACGGATCCATCCACGCATCCACCCACGGATCCACCCACGGATCCATCCACGGATCCACCCACGGATCCATCCACGCATCCACCCACGGATCCACCCACGGGTCCATCCACGGATCCACCCACGGATCCACCCACGGATCCACCCACGGATCCACCCACGCATCCACCCACGGATCCACCCACGGATCCATCCACGGATCCACCCACGGATCCACCCACGGATCCATCCACGGGTCCATCCACGGACCCATCCACGCATCCACGGATCCACCCACGGATCCATCCACGGACCCATCCACCCATCCACGCATCTATCATCCGTCCACGCTGTAACACCGAGAGACACCAGCGACGCGAGGACGATTCAAGGCGCGCAGGCGGTTGACAGCACAACGAGTCACCCGGTGGGGAAGCAACTCCGGTTTCAGAATATTCTTCCCCCCCCCTGGCATCCGTCTCTCTTCAAAGTGGCTTCGTACGCCAGAAGTTTGCGCTCAACCCACGGGCGTTTTCGCTCGCACCGCAGCGCCTACTCAAGCTGGGATCTTAAGCCCCAAAACTCAGCGTTTGACAATCTCAGAAAACGAACACACACAAAAAGACGACTATTGCCGAGTCATCATGAAGCAATATCGAAAAAAAGATGCTGCTGGTTCTGTTTAATTGGTTGTCCCCCACCGCCCCGGCACCTCCGATTAGCACGGTTGGCTACGGTACGGTGCAAAAGAAGTTCAACGTACACAAAGATTCCCCCGTGTAGCCTTATCAGACTGTTGGGGCAAGTGCTGTTAGCGAGCAGCACCTATGAAGCGCCAGCACGGTGGCACACGAGGGGGCTGGGTGACGAGCACCACGCCCGGCCGCCTTTGTCTCCCCAGTGGCGATGTTTACACACCGAACCAGGTAATCATTTGGGGCTGAGTCGACCTAGGGAGAGGCACAGGACCGGTTTAGATAATCGTCGCCAGTGTTGGCCGTGAGCTGGAATCGAACTCGGGTGGCCGGGGTCGTAGCGCAGCGCAGCGATAACCGCTACGACACCACCGCTCCCCTCCCCGCACGCAACATACGCACTCACACACAGACACACAAACCAATCATAAGGCAGAGAGAGAGAGTCCTCACCGCACGACACTGACCGCACGTGCTCCTCACTGCCCAGCCATCGTCCCACGCACCTGGAAGGCAGCAGCCGCAGGATGGACATCATCCACACGCACTTCTCCTCCCCCGCCTCCTCTGGGGCGACATCAACACAAAACTGCCCATCCCAGCTGCGGACCCGGCCCTCCCCCCCACTCCTCCCAGCCACAGGGGCTCCTCCTCCCACTCCCCTTCTCCTCCCACCTCCCCCTCCTCCTCCCACCCCCCTTCTCCTCCTCCCACCCCCCTTCTCCTTCTCATCCTCCTCCCACCTCCCCCTCTTCCTCCCACCCCCTTCTCCCCCTCTTCCTCGAAACCCCCTTGTCCCCCTCCTCCTCCCACCCCCCTTCTCCCACCTTCCCCTTCTCCCACCTCCCCCTCCTGCTCCCACCCCTCCCCCTCTACCTCCCACCCCCTTCTCCCACCCCCTCCTCCTCCCAACTCTCCTCCTTCTCTCAACCCCCTTCTCCTCCTCCTTCTCTCAACCCCCTTCTCCCCCTCCTCCTCCCACCCCCTCCTCCTCCAACCCCCTCCTCCACCCCCTCTCCTCCTCCTCCCCCCCTCCTCTCAACCCCTCCCCCCTCCTCACACCCCCTTTTCTCTCATTCCTCCCACCCCCTCCTTCTCCCACCGCCTCCCCTACTCCTCTCCCTCCTCCTCTCCCTCCTCCTCCCCCTTCACTTTACCCCGTCCTCCCCCTCTCCTCCATCTCTCCTCCATCTCCCCCATCTCCCCCCATCTTCCTCCCTCACCCTCCTGCTTGACCCCCTCCTCTTCCACCTCTCCCCCTCCTCCCCCCCCGCCTTCTCCCTCTCCTCCCCCCTTTCACCCAAAAACTTTCACCCAATAGCTAAACAATGAATTAAAGCATTGCAGCCACCCAACCAACCCAACTGGAATCAACAAGAATTTCCCACAATGCTAAAGGTGCTTCGCATACTGTATAGAGACACACACGCACACATGCGCACACACGTGTCGCGTTGCTATCTGTGAGTTGTGTGATGCATAGCACACTGGGATTTCAACCCAAACGGTTGCCAGGCCGATTTCGATCTCTGAGCACGCAACTGAAACAACGGTGTGGTATGAATTGGTGCTGTATATCAAGGCCGTAGCCATGGAATCAACATTGGGGGGGGGGGGGACCAAATCTTCCAGGGGGTCTGGGGGTCACCCCCAGAAAAAAAAATCTAAATTTGAAAAATGAGTTCCTGCCATTTTCTGCTTAAAGTATTAAAATTTCACTAACGCATAGGACGGATTTTTTTTTTACAATGTCTAATAGTGTATTGTATTACATTGCTGTTTTTTCTTTTTTACCTTTTCTTGTTTCATTGTATGTAATGGCAGAGATTAGGGATTAATAAACTACAACCATAACCACATTCATATAAACAGAAATCTATTCATAGCAATATATTGGGGGGTCATTTGGAGCATATTTGCCCAATATATATTATAATTACGGCCTTGGTGTATATCGTACAGTCTCCGGTCGGTAGGTCACGTATTGTAAGGTTAACCCAAATTCTAAATAACCAGCTATAACCGAGTTTGAACCACATTCTAAAGACGCAGCGAAAACCATCTTCTTGGTTCTTTCGGTATAGTCACGTATAAGGGAAATAATAAAATAATATAAATAAAACAATAAAATACAATTATCACGACGTTTCGGCCACAACGCAAGCAGCCGTCCTCAGGTGAAGAAAAGGTCTGTCGGAAAGACAGCGTCTATTTTATGTTTTATTTTTATTATTTTATTATTTTCCTTCTACGTGACTTTACCGAAAGAACCAAGAAGATGAATCCCTGCAGTCACGAAAGCTTTAAATCGAAAGCTAAAACCATGTTTAAACCAAATTCTAACCAGCTATAACCGAGTTTAAACCAAATTCTAAAGACCCAACTCTCACCTTGTTCAAAGCAAATTCTAAAGCAACAAAAGACATCACGGTCAGAAGAACATCTCACGCTATGTAATGAGGGGAAAGCCCTACCCGTGAATGCATCGTCATCTTCAGTTGGGGGAGGGGGGGAGGGGACGCACGTTGTAGACGTTCCGCGGTTTGAATCTAGGCGGCTGCCCTGGTTACTATTGCGGCTGTATTGACCATAACGGATAAAGGAAATATACACAGCTTTACTGAGGATGGTAAAGATCCCGTGGCGTCGTTCTTAAGGGCAGGCCATTGTATACTGGCCTGACGGGTCAAAATTGGCCAAACTGGGATGTGTACATAACCATCACCCTCTATTGCCGACACTTGGAAGGACCCTGCGAAATACACAACTGTGAGACTTGGTGAGGCTTTATTGGGTAAACAAGTGCAATATTAATACATTTATAATCCAGTACATGATTGAACTGGCTTAGATCATTCTCAGGAGCAACAGCTCCTTCATCAAGAGAACAAATCTGGGAATACTAGGACAGGGGGCAACTCATCCCATCCATGAATGAAGACAACCATGACAACTAATGGATGTCCATCCGTAAGGGGGGGGGGGGAGGGGCTAGCTTCACCAGAATGTGCTCTCACTTCTGATCCTACAGACGCGCGGACGAGGTAACCCGGCCTGGGATCTGAACCTTTTCACCCGTCCACTGCTGTCACCTTCTCTTCATCGCTGCACAACTCGTCTCACTTCCACCCGCCCGCCCTCTCTCTCTCTCTCTTGTCTTTCGAGCCAGGAATTAATGTCTCGCTCTTTTCCGGAACGCTGCTAGGCCGGCTTGGAGCAGGACTATTGGCATAAGGCACTACTGGGAGAGTGCAAGGTATCTATATCCATAATGACCCAACATTATTGTACCCTGTGTCAAAATATCTAAACCAGCCCAAGTTTCCTTTCAATCACGTGACTTCTGTGTGGCCACTCCCACTCTGAGTCCCTCCCCCTCTCCCTGCCGCCCACTGTGAAAACAGACTCCGCTCCATGCGGCAGTGTCAAGACGCTCATGCAGCCTCTTCCTCCTCCTCCCTATCCTCATCTCTCCTGACCCTTTCGGTCCCGTTCCTCTGTTCCTTTTCCATCTTTCCCCCTCAACTCTCTCTCTCTCTCCTCTCTTCCCTTTCCCGTTCCTTTCTCTTTTCCCCCCATGCGTTATATCATTGCCTCTACTCGCGTATCCCGTGGTGTGCCATGGGTAAAACAATATTCTGGCTTCTATAATCCGGTGAATAGGTTTATAAAAAAAAAAAACATCGAAAAAAAATGAGGCTAGGTGGTAGCGACGTGCCAAACTAATGAATGGAACGGCGTTCTGGACTGTTCCGCTCAAAATTAATCCCTGGCTGTAGCGCAGTAACTGTAACACTACACCATATAAGTCCATATCCTGAGTCACAAACCCATAGATTCTGGCTCGGTCTCTAACACCGCTCAGCTCAGGCTTGAGTCATGAAGTTGCTTCAATCACACATGCTCAGCCTAAAGGAAATCCTGAGCACGAATGGCATCAGGCATAGAAGTACAGGGACACACGGGGATATGTAGGGACACGGGGAGACACAGGGACACACGGGGATACACATGGACACACGGGGAGGCAGCAGGGAGACGCAGGAACACACGGGGAGGCAGAAACACGGGGAGACAGAGACTCATGGAAGCCAGAGCCGAGCCTGAGGGGCCGAGGCCGAAGCGCTGTTGGCAAAATCGCAATTGCACGAGACGATTGTACGAAGGATCCGGTTCTACCCTGGGGAGGGAGGAGGTTGGAAGGGTGCTGGGGAGCATTGGGCACGAGACGCAAAGCCGCAGGCTCAAACTCCATACTTGTCAATCCCTTATCAGTGCCCTACCTTATTACAAACCAATTCAGACCGTATTGGTCACCTCGTGCCCTGAGAAATCTCAACCTTCACCCTACGAAGTCCCACGACAAGTGACAAACAAAAAGACCAAACATGTTATTTACTCAATTTACCTGTACAAGAATACGGGTAAACCGTATGGGTGCACATCTATGTAACTCCCACTACAAAAAGCAATAAAACCGGCGAAAGAGGCTCGTCGCATGGCGCGCAATGACTTGGGAGGGACGGCTCTAACCATCAACACATACGTAACCAACGTGGAGCTCTCTCTTTGGCTGTACGCACGCCTTGATCTGTGCTAATCTGCATCAGGGTAGATGAAAATTCGCTCCACTTCAGGGCAAATCCAGACGCATGTCGGTGCCCCTATTCACGCACCGACGTCGAGTGAACATGGCAGAGACCGCTGAAATTGCTGCAGTTTGACGAAATTATGTTTTTAAAGCTTCCAACGTTAAAGCCGGGGATCGGTAGCCGATGCTCGCAGCATCAGCTGACCTCAGCGGGGCTCTCCGGCGCGTCATTCGGGTCGCCGTTCGGCACGAGGTCCGACGCGTCGGCCCCCTACACGAATTCGGTTTCCTGTAGAAGCACGCGGAGGAGGTAGTCGGGGCGGCGGGTGATCGGGACGGTCGCGGAAACCTGCGGCTCTCCGCGGATCAAAAGGGAGTCGCGGATAAGGGGAGTTCTCCCGTGCAGTGCAGCACCTGTGCGGCTGGTTAGGATTCTCTTGAGTGTGACTCCGGAGAGCCAACGGGGAGCGCGCAGGCCACGTCGAGAGTTTGACGAGCACAGTCTGGTCACAATCTTGATTTTAAGTTTTCGTGACTGCAGGAATCTATACTCTCTGATCGTGAAGTCACGTAGGTATAAAATAAAATAAGATTAAATTTAAAAATAAAATAAGATTAAAATTTAAAATAAAATAAGATTAAATTTTAAAATAAAATAAGATTTAATTTTAAAATAAAATAAGATTAAATTTTAAAATAAAATAAGATTAACATTTTTAATAAAATAAGATTTTATTTTATTTTATACCTACGTGACTTTACCGATAAAACTAGAGAGCCTTGCCACAGCTGACCGCACAACATGTGTCTATGGATGTTTTATTTTTACAGTTACATTTCTACGTTGCTAAATGTTTCGTGCTGGATGAGTGTATCGCTGCAAACAGCTCTTTACGGGTTGAGGGAGGAGTTACCCGTCCATGAGAGGGCATCCTTGAAGTAACTTTGCAAGTGTTTTTGTTTTGTGTGCGTGGTGTCATCT